ATTTTCTTGTTTGAATTACATACATAAACCGTACAAAATAGGTAGGATAAAACAGGGAATATTTCGCTTTCGACGAAAATTGTAAGATTCTACTCATAAGCCAACATCTGTAAGAACAACGTTGGACCTCCACTTAATCGATAGCTACTTAAATATTAATTTGATTGTCTAGATCCCCTATCTCTGATTACCCTAAATGTTAGGAACGAAAAAATTGGAGTGACAACTTTTACTAGATTTTCCTTTTTGTTCTAAAAGTAAAAGTAAAACTAGATTGTTTATTTAGGTAATCTAATATTTATGATTCGGTGTGTTACAAAAATTGAGACAATTTTTTTTTTTTTCATTTCAAATGCAACCATGAGTCTGATTGGAATTCAAAACTTCTACGTCCAAAGCTAAATAGATTATTACGATTAGTTAAATTTTTACTTTATTAATTAAAGTTTTAATTATTATAAAATAACTAATTAATTAATGAATCTCCTTGTCTATTTGAAAATAAGTAATGGAATCTCCTTATCTAATTACAAAGAAGTTAGAAATTATAATGACGTGGTGGCATAGGGGTAACTTTATTTTTTTTTTTTCCACCCCAAATTTCTTTTTTTGAGCAAGGAAAATTTGAAAAGAGAAAAATACCATGCATAGAGTTTGAATATGCAACTCACCAAGTAAATCCTTACTTGACCAAAAATCTCAGCCACTGGACCAAACGTGGGGATCATTTCTGCACCTCAACGTGTGTGATCTGCTTGCAGTGTAATTAATTTCTTCTCTTTTTTTTTTTGTAATAATCTTATTTTCGTTAATTAATGTTTCCATCTTCGGAAAGGATTCTCATTTTCCAGGGAAGCAAACGTGTCATGTCATTGGTAAGTGCATGAAAAAATACAAACTCTTTTGATATCTTATGTGACAGCGGGAACTTCTAAGTTCTGAATAGTTATACTTATATGTATTTTTCTTTAAAGTTCATTATTTTTGTTACCTTAATAGGAGGCAGAGATGGTGGTAGGAGGGGTTGAAATTGCAGCAGCTCGAGGTGGTGGAGAACTTAAATGTATTTTTCTGTACTAATCTCATTTTATTTTGGATCACTGCAGGTTCTGGTAATTAAAAATAGGTGGAGGTAATGAAGGAGGATGCAACTGACTTGGAGCAAAATTCGTTGAACCCATTGTGCATAAGATCATGGAGAAATTAAAGGGCATGAAGGAAAGCAACCATCGACGAACAAGTAATTAATGTGAAGTGGGTAATTAATCATAAAAATTTAACATTAAAAACACATGACATTGTTTAGTTTCCCCTGAATCGGCTTGATTTAGGGGATGGACGAACAAGTAATTAATTTTTTTTTTTGGTACATAAGAAGCCAGGTAAGGCTAGATCCTAAGGAATGATGTTCCTAGAACATCTCCATGAAGAATACAACTGATACCCGATGGCAGAGTTTGAAAGAGTGATAGGCCTTGCGAAAGTGTTTGACCCTTGGCAGTCATAAAATCAGCTGCCGCAGTAATTAATGTGAAGTGGGTAATTAATCGTAAAAATTTAACATTAAAAACACATGACATTGTTTAGTTTCCCCTGAATTCGGCATGATTTAGGGGATGGACGAACAAGTAATTAATGTGAAGTGGGTAATTAATTGTAAAAATTTAACATTAAAAACACATGACATTGTTTAGTTTCCCCTGAATTCGGCTTGACTTAGGGGATGTAGACTGTAGACCATAGTTTGGATTTGTTAGTTTTGTTGATATATAAATAAGAAGCCAAATCTGAAGTCTAGGCAAGGCACAGGTTGACAGAAGACAAAAAAAAATGAGGCACCATTTTACGTACGTTATATATTGGGAAGTGGCAAAAACCATAAGAGAATTGCGTTTTCTTTTGGAATCATTTTCATTCAACGCATTGATTTTCAGTTTTTTCTTCTGCAAGTCATTGTTTTCTTTTTATTCAAAATCCTTTTTATTAGGCAGCTAGATATGTGTCTCAATTGGTAAATATATCATCCATGTATCTTCGTTCTCTTGAAATGATTCATGTTCTGTTATGAACTTTCGAAGAATCACACTGAGATGACAGGGCTCCGGAGCTCCTTTTCACTTTGCAAATGAATCTCCTTATGTAATTAGAAAGAAATTAGAAATTAAAATGAGTTAGTCGCAATAGTGGTAACTTTATTTTATTTCTGCTCCTTAACTTATGTGTCTGCTTGCAGCTTAATTTCTTCTCAAAAATGAGTCTTTACACTTTGCCCATATCTCTTTTGTTAATGTTTCCATATTTGGAAGGATTTCCATTTTCCGAGGAGCAGACGTGTCATGTCATTGGGTAATGGGTACGTACATGAATTTACGTGATGCAAGTTTTGCAGAAATACGGTGGAGTGATGTGTCTCGGTGGAGCTCCTTTACGCTTTGCATGTCGACATAACGCTTCTCGGTAACGTTGCCATGACAACATGTCCAACTGATGAATCTGAGAGTGGGGGTTTCACTTTAATAATTCAAGCAAAAGTTGATAGCTTTTTTCATGTTTAGTGATTGTCTAGTGTCCCATTAGTGCTATAAATACTAACGTTTTGTGGGTTTCAAGTATGTCACTAAATCATGTTATAGAGGTGTTTGTTAGAAGCTCTGACTGAAATTTTATGGTGAAAGTGAAACTGTGGAAAGCAATGGGATTTTGATAGAGATGGGTAGATAAGATTTCGTTTGGTTACTGAATTCCTTGGCCCATATAATTCCAGAGGTGTTTTATTTACTCTGTAGATTGAAGGTCTCTCTTTTCACATGGGTAGAGGGGAAAGAGCAAAGGGACTCAGCAAATCATGTATTCTTCTCATAGGTAAGAATATGCTTTCATCTTCTTCATGTCTTAGCTTGAGCATGCATTTTTGCTTGATCACCCTACTCTTGGACTTATCTCCCCAAATCAATGGTCCCCAAGTACCAACTTTAATTCAAGATTGAGTGGTTCCATATTTTGCTTGTTCGTAGCTCCTAGTTCTTTGGATGAACTTATTTGGAGTTTGGGAGTATTTACTTGGAACCAGAATCTTAGCAAGCTAGCAGTGTTTTATTTGCTGTCTTAATATTTTGGTAGTGATTGCTGGTATGGAGAGGTTTGCATTCAAAGGGGTGGCATCCAATTTGGTGACTTATCTCACAGATGTTGTGAAGATGAGCAACTCTTCTGCTGCCAAGACTGTCAACGGTTGGTATGGGTTCACATCCATGCTGCCACTGCTAGTGGCACCGCTGGCTGATTCTTGTTGGGATCGATATTCCACCATATTGGCTTCTTCTTTCCTGTATGTTGTGGTGAGTCATGCTTCTCTTCTTCCTCTTACTGTGAGTTTCTGCACGTCATTGAAATTTCACCTTGAAGATCCTTGGTTAGTCTGTTTTTGGGAAATTCTGTCATCATTATGTGGTTTATGATTAATCCCTTTCATGGTGGTTGAGAGTTTTCATGGGGGTTGAGTGTACCATAATGGACCGTGACTCCGTGAGTATATCCCCACTCTCTCTTTTGCCTTATTTTAAATTAATGTATGACCTTTACTTTGATTAGACCCATTTTGTTTTTTCTGTGTCTCCTTTAAAGCTTGAAGGCCCAATAAGAGTGTTGAAGTCCTTTTATGAGAAAATTATTGATCCAGCAACAGTTTTACATATTCAAATGGGTTGGACAACCAAATAGCAACAGTTTTTCACACAATATAACACAGCAACAAAGGTTCTGGTGTTTTTTTTTAGTCTTTTAGATCATGTTTATTACTTTTTCAATTCTTCCACTTGTTTCCCTCCATAGGGGCTTGTGGCAGTAACGTCAACAGCATTAACAAGGGCATGGTCTCCACCAAGTACCCCAGGCTCCTCTTCTTTCCTCTTTTGGTCCCTCTGTTTAATTTCACTTGGCCAAGGAGCATATAACCCATCCTTGCAAGCCTTTGGAGCAGACCAACTTGATGCCACCGATGAATTATTGCCTTGTGGCAAAGATGATGAGAAGTCTGATGAGAAGAGTCAGTTTTTCCAATGGTGGTATTTTGGAGTTTGCAGTGGTAGCTTGTTGGGTGTCACACTTATGTCTTACATCCAAGACACCTTTGGTTGGGTATTAGGATTTGCTATCCCCACGGTTGCAATGGTCACATCAATTGCATTTTTCTCATGTGGAAGCCGGATCTATGTTTACAAACCAGATGAAGAGTTAGATTGTAAGCCTTTTCATACCATAATTCATGCCATCAAAGTAACATTATCAAAATTGAGTAAGAGTAAAATCACCTTACCAGATGACAATACCGAAATGGTGGAGCTACAGTAAGTTTTCTTATTGTATTTTGAGGTGGCTTCACCTTGTAATGTGCATGAGTTCTAACAGTAAGTCCTTGTTTGTTTATAGGCTTCAAGAGAAACCAATGTGTCATGACCAATTGGTTAACAATAAGAGCTTGGATGAGAACCCCAAAAGTGGCACTTACCTGCTTGAAAATTCTAAGATTGTGCTGCGTCTTTTGCCCATCTGGACAATGCTACTAATGTTTGCTGTAATTTTCCAACAACCTGCAACATTTTTCACTAAACAAGGTATGGCAATGAAGAGGAACATTGGCAGGGACTTCAAGATCCCACCCGCAACACTACAGAGTGCTATTACGCTGTCTATAATCCTCCTTATGCCTTTGTATGATAAGATCTTTATCCCAATTACACGGATGGTAACCCGTAGTGACAAAGGTATCAGTGTAATGCAGAGAATGGGAATTGGAATGTTTCTCTCTATCATAGCCATGATCATTGCTGCAATTGTTGAAACAAAGAGGCTTGAGAGCAGTAGAAAAATGCTAACCCAAGATTCAGAAACAATGCACCTCAGCATCTTTTGGTTGCTACCTCAATATATTCTCCTAGGCATTTCAGACATTTTCACTGTTGTTGGGATGCAAGAGTTCTTTTACAATGAAGTACCTCCTAGAATGAGAACAATGGGATTCGCACTATATACCAGTGTTTTTGGGGTGGGTAGCTTCTTAAGTGCCATATTGATTTCAGTCCTGGAGGTCTTGACAAGTTCAGAAGGAAGACAAAACTGGTTCTCTGATGACATGAGGAAAGCCAGACTAGACAAATACTATTGGCTTGTAGCCCTAGCAAGTGCGGTGAGTCTGTTATTGTATATAATTTTGTGTAGATGTTACAAAAGCAGGAAAGACCATGAAAATAACGACTGTAAATGAGCTCTTTCTTTTGAGTTTCAACTGCTTTTAATATAGATGTTCTTAACTTAGCATTTGTAGAGTGCTGCTATACCTGTCCAATCATTGATGCTTTTAGTTTTTTCACCCTTGTAACAACCTTGGAGATGCTTGAGAGAAAATTGAAAGGGGACGGTGGAGTTTCATTCCTCCAAGTTGTCGGTAAAATTTTTTGAAAACAGCAGAAAAATGAGTCGGTCTCAGTATCAAGATTTCACGTTGCATTATCATTGTTGGTATGCTTCGATGGCATATTCTCCACATGATTATCAAAATATTAGTTAGCGCTAAGATTGACATCGGTGGAGTGGCAGCTGAAATTTTTTTTAGCTTTTTTTTTTTTTTTTGTGATTATGATATACTTGAATCAATTTATTTATACCTCAAAATTAATTCATATTTGATCTAATTAAAAATAAATTATTTAAGTCAAAATTAAAAAATTTACAAAAAAAATTATTTTTTTTATTAATCTCCTAAATAATTCACTACAAATTGAATCTTGTAAAGAAAAAGAGTTTTTATGGTATCTCAGGTCAATAAAAATACATCATTTCAACATTTTCTTTCATATTTCATCCATTATTTGACAAAAAAATAAAAATAACATGCTTTTATCAATATCAGCTACTATTAACGTGATATTCTAAGAATACAACAAAATTTTTCGTGAAGAAGAGGTTGGACAACAATTTCCTTGAGATTGGAAGTTCCAGACGTTTGGACTCTGGCCTCAATGAGGAACGACTGTTGCACAAGGGGAAGGGAAAGTGTTAAAAGAGAGACGTGTAGATGAGTCGCAATCTTTTCTCCTAAAGCAACCTCAGAGAAGCAAGGCGAAGAAAGAAATCTTATTTCCTAAATTGTGATCAGTTCGCATTTATTACCACAAGACAGAAACATCCATGTTAGAAAATATAATACAATCATTCTCCATTGCCTATTTTCAAAAAAAAAAAGAAAAAACCAATTATTCAATTACTTTTCATGCATCCTATATTTTATTTTATTTTATCTCTAATTATTTTTTTATGGGAGTATCTCTAATTCGTTACCAGCCATATAAATCCAAAATACCATTAATGTCATCCTCTTGCAAGCCTTTGACCTCACTTGCACCAATGCTTGCGAACATTATATATGGCCTCTCTGACCTGACTATGCGCCAGTCCAAGCATATGCCCAATCTCGTGCAAACCAACGGTTTCCAAGTGAAATGTCCCTAGAGTTGCTTCTAGAGACCAATTTTCATCCCCGTCATAGTGCAGTGTTCCATCCATCGGTGAAGTGGCATGAGCTAGCACCCTGCCGGGACCATCAAACGGGGCAAAATCTCCATGTTCCAGTCTCTGGAAACTTATTTTAAGATCAGCGTTTGAGTAGTCATTTGTTAAGGAGAATTTGAAGCGGATTTTTCCAGGCCATTTTTGTAAGGCATTGCTCACGGTGGATATACCATCCCTTCGGGTGGCCGGAGCGAAGGCATACGTGAGACTGTTCTTGGTCCACTTGGGATTCCCTGGGAAAAAGACATACTGAGAATGGAAGGGGTTGGTGCCGTTGATGATATTCCGGCACTCCACATCGAGGCTTTGTCATCTGTAATACTGTTTCTTCATCTAAAATCCCAGTTGGCTTAAGATTGTAAAACTGTTGGTAAAGTCTTGAGTGCAGACTCCAATTCATCATCAAAATTGTCATTCTGAACAGATGTCTGCTCCATGGTGATAGAGCTCAAGTAACCAAAGCGTTGTAAATAGTTTCTAAGCACAAGAATGCCATTACCTTTATCACCCTTGTGGGAGCCCTGGAGATTTCTAATGAAAAACCTAGATGGAATTGGCGATTTGTGCTCTGAATGGACTTGAGACAAAAGATAGAAGAGGAGAAGAGTGAAACAGAAGAACCGGATAGCTCTTGGTGCCATGACTGTTGGATATTTTGCATCAAAGTCATATTTTTCTTGCCTATATATAAGTCTAGACTTATCTAATTTGGGACGGAAATTCATCTAGATTAAAAGTTGTATCCTAAGTCTCCATTTTCCGAAACAAATTCATATGTGATTTTAGCTTAAAGTAGAGAGATCGTACCCTTCAAGAGTAGTAGCCATGTTTTGGATAAAATAATCACTAAGACCCTTCAAGAGTAGTAGCCATGTTTTGGATAAAATAATCACTAAGACTTATCTTAGGAATTTCAATAAAAAATAGAAAAAGAATCTAATAGTTAAAACCTTCATTTAAAAAACTACTCATATATAATATTCAACTAAATATATGAAAAAAAATTACTTACAAAATATATAAATATACTTTTTCTTGTTTTTGCTACTT